AAAAAAAAAAAGTACTTAGTGCCCCCCTGCCATTAAAAACGTTTGTACTGTAGCCCATAATCCAGGAAAAAGTGGACATCTGCTTTTGCAGCCCCCTGGATCGGCCGACCACCCCTAGGGGGCGGTATCACCCTCTCTGGGAAGCACTGCTCTAGAGAAGTCTCCCGAGGCCTGGGACCTCCATTTGCTTTTCCGTGGGTTCCTCCACCATCCTCCCACCACCACCACTCCCACTCCCACCAGGGCTGCAGAGCAGCGTGCTTCATTTTGTATAACGGACATTTGTTTGATAAATGCTTATTTTAATTAAAATATCCGGTCATTATGAGTTGGAATCGACGTGAAGGCAGCTTTTTGTGACACTAGCTTTGGCGAAAACATCGTTTGAGACTTAGAACTTTTGAATGTATAGATGCCTAAATATTAAATGCTCTTGAACCTTTTTCTAAATCTTGAACATAAAGGCGTGTTATGTAACTTTGGGGGGGATGGGGCGCTATTTGTATGGATGCTTTATCATCTGTAATAATAAAAGATGGCTCTTTAAAATCATTTCATGAGAAGGTGATGACCGTGCAAGTGACAATACATTTGGTTGATCAAAGACCAAGTAGATCAACACAGGCCAACACAGTACTTGATTAGATTGAACATATATTTCTGTAAGGCTCTTAAAATTAGATCTAAAAAGGAAATTTCCTGAACGTATGGCTATCGATCTCAGACCAGCACTTAACATTTCACCATATGTACATGAGAGTAAAACACTAGAGGCAATCTCATTCACAGAATTGTACCTATATGTGATTGATGGAAATCAATTTAAAAACCAGTTTAAAAAAATGACATTTGGGGGACATGCTCCAGTAACTACCTAATGTAATACAGTAGGTTTCACATTAAATTTTCCCAAAGAATTTCTTTACCTTGGGTTTCTGAGACATCATTTGTTCAAAAAATCTTGCAACTTGAATGCCTTCACTGAGGATGGCAGAAAGGTTAGGCGAGGTGACTCTAGAGTAGGGGGGCTAGCTAGATCAGAAAGACCCACCTGATGACCACCTGGCCTCAGGAAAGAGGGGTTGGAGTTTGCGCTGTGCAAGGAGCCAGAACCAAGCCTGTTGCAGCCCAGTCTGCTCTGACTCACGGAAGCCACGTGGGCTACACAGTAGCGCTGCTGCACACGATGTTCTTGGGTTCCCTCTTTATGGAAACTTGCTGCTGCAGTGCCACTGAGGGGCTTTGAACTGCCAGCCCTTAGATTAGTCGTTGAGTGCAAACCATTTGTGTGACCCCGAGGGCTTTACATTACCTCTTGACACTGAAGTTCTGCATGCTTCCTGGTTAACGAAAGACACCTATTCATATGGGAAGGAAGCACACCGTTTGGAACGGGGAAGCTACCTGTTGAGAACCCTTCCAGACACCCTATGCAGCTCTTCCTCAATCTACTTACTGCTACCATCAAATTGTAGCCGTCATGGATAGTAAGGATTTGCCACGAACCCTAAGTTGTTCCAGCAAGTTATCAGACCCGAAGAGTAGTAGAAGGAACCCAAGGAGGACGCCCGAGCTAGTGGCTGGCATCTTGCAGGGTAGATGAAACTAGGTGAGGAGTTGTAGCTGGCGCCTGCTTGCTGTTGGGCAGCCTGAAGGATGGTGTCCATTAAAGTTGGGAGCGGTGACCTAGGTACAGGTGGCCTGGAGCAGACAGAGAAACACTGCATAGGCTGCCGGTGTCTGAACCAAATAGATGAGTGGGGAAAAGGGTCTTAGTTACGTTGGCTCTTCTCTCTGCACTGTTGTCAACTACAAAAGAGAACCCAATTCTCTCATTTAAAGGAAACATGTATTAAGTCTTAAACAGGACAAAGACAAGACCACATCATCTGGATGAAAGGGACCATTAGCGCAAAGACAGTGGCGTCCAGGAGTCTGAAGATCCGGAGACTTAGAAAGGGCATGGGGAGGGCAAAGGAGACTCACGGGTGCGTGATGGGCAGCACGTCAGGTGGCAACATCACAGTTACTACAGGATTGTAGAAGCAGACGCGGGACTGTGATTGACACACGTACATTATGTCAGACAGGAAACTTATGAGATTGGCCCAGGGCCTTCCAAGCAAGGCAGTCCGAGCATAGACTCCTGGCTATGTGGCCTCAGTGTGTAGCAGCCTCCATCGGGGGCACATGCAGGCAAGCCCTTAAAGGAGATTAGGCTGGTGATGGGGGTGGAGGTAAGCCACTCTGCCTGAGCCAAGACTAATTCCTAATTTATGGTCAGAAGGAAGTCATGGGATCTTGATCCATGTGAGGCCGCTGCAGATGAATGGAGGCTATCTCTAGCCTTCTACACGGACCTGTTATTCAAAGCCTGAACTCTAGTACAGTACATTGTCAGGCGGAACATGGAGGAGAAGAAAAACAAGTGGAAAACTATAGATATTATGAGGAACAAAATGATATTCCATGTTTTAAATTCTAGAGGACTAAAATTTCATAGATAGTTCAGTAGAGGCATACAAAAACTGTCACACATCACTAACTTTTGCATGTATTAGAAATAATGTGCTAGAAATATGTTGAAAACATTCCATTCATTAAAAATCATAAAAACAGAACATAGCTAGAAATGATCATAATATTGTGGTTCTTAGGTGCTGTCCGGTTGATTCTGACTTATAGTGACCCATGTATGAGGGAATGAACCACTGCCCACACCTCCGCCATTTGTTGCAACCACTGTGCCAACCCATCTCATGGAGAGTCTTCCAGTTTCACGGGCCTCCTATTTTACCAAGCATGGCTTTCTTCTCCAGGGACTGGACATGAATAAGGAGGACCAGAGAAGAACTGATGCTTCTTAATTACGGTGCTAGAAAGCAATTCGAAAGGACCATGGGCTGCCCACAGAACAAACCAATCTGTCTTGGAGGAAGTACAGCCAGAAGGCTCCTTAGAATCGAGATGGCAAGACTTTGTCGTCCATATTTTGTCCTTGTCATAGGGAGGGCCCAGGGCCGTAGAAGAACATCATGCTTAGGAGAGGGCCAGTGAAAAGGAGGAAGACGTCGACGAGATGGACCGGCACCGTGACTGCAGCAATGGCCTGAGATATGACAACACCTGTGGGGCTGGTGTGGAAGCCATGCTTCGCTTTGTTGGACGGAGAGTCATGCGTCAGAGCTGACTCACCAGCCCCTCAAACAACAACGCCCAGTTAGAGCGAGAGTGTGAGAAGGCTCAGTGTATAACCTTTGGTGACAAGAGTTCCTGGACCACATGCTGCGCCGATCACTCACTCAATTAAAGTCTTCTTAAACCTCACCTTCATCTGTGAATTGGGAGCAATGACTCCCGTGGGATTGAGGGGGGTTATATGAGATAAGGAAAGTTTTCTCTGTCTCTCACCTCACTCATGTTTCACTCCCCTGCTTGTCCATTCTCAACTCCATGCTCTGGCATTATAATCACGTTTCTTGAGCCC